ACATGAAAAAGACACCTAGCTGTTTTCAGCCAATCAAGAGTGTAATTTTTCATGTATATCAGTATTGTGATGATTAACCAAAACCAAACAAGTAACTGAAAAGGAGTTGTAGTCTACCAAATAAAGGCCTAATACACATGTATTGTCACCAAGTTCAAATATCAATGCTCATCTGAACCATAATGAAGAGAACTTAGAAGACTTCCAAGCTTACAGGAAGTCAAATGTTAAGGTCTAAATAATACTGGACATTACTTGGAAAATGATAATAATAGTCACATTTCAGTTGTAACATTAAACTACTGGGCTCCTATAAGCAATGGAATATAAGCATTGTAGAAAATCAGGAAAGAGTACCATATAACCCCATACATTAATTATGCATTCCACTTCTTTGTCTTTCACGACAAAACTTTAAAAACAAAGTCTACTAGTCTGAATGCATAATTAATGTATGGGGCTATAGGGTACTCTCGCCAATCATTTGTGAAAACCAAAAACATCACATCATTCCACATTTTGTGTTATCCAAAAACTTGTTTCAATGCTGGCAAGTAAAATGCATTTAAATAGAATAAAGATATCTTTTGTTTTTACGAAATTGTCATAAAAGCCAATCCTTGACCGGTATTGTACGATCGAGATAATTATTTCCCATACTTACTTTTGTCGTTTTGAAATATGCCTCCGTAAATTCTCAACAGTGCAAGGAGAATGTAAGTACAATGCAACTTATTTCACTTTATGGCGCTTCCAGGAGGCTTCAGACAGTTTCAAACACTTTTAGACTCTTTCAGAGACTCTGTGGTGTAACCCTCGCCGATAGATCAAACCGATAGTTGTTAGCTTGCGCGAGTGCAAATTATGACTCCTTTCAGTGTAGTACAACTCGTACCGAAGATTCAAGCTGTTAAATGTCGTCTTTTAAGAGCGTAAAAGTTCTTGCGCAAGCTGCAGTTATAAATTATACAAGCCGGATCTGGGTGCGTTGACTTGTATGGGGAGACTAACTCGTCAAACGATCACCTGAAAAACAACGATGGCTGGCTCAGACTATAATACGCCTCACGATACGAGACCACGTGACATGCGTTTGACTCTCGTGGACAAATAAATAAATTAATGAATCTGACATGGCTTTACAAAAGCGTGCGCTCTGATTGGCTCATACGCTCGATCCATTTGTCCATGGGTTGCACGCTGACGTCAATTTGTTTTGCTTTTTTTTCACGGCAACTTTTTCGTCGATGTTACCACTACACACAACATAATTCCTGTTTTTGTAGGTATTTTGCTCGTGAAATATGAACAAATTTTGTGATTTTTCCGGAGATAAGGAAGATAATTCTTGTGAGCTGCCAAATTTTGAGCTCAAGGTCTTTGTCGGGTCTCCAGCTTAGAGTTCGAGATTTGCGAACTTGAGCGAGCAGGAGCTTAATCAGCTGGTTGAACCATTAAATATTTATACACGAAACGAAAGATGTTTGAAAGTCTTATGTTATAAAAGAATTGGTTAGCGTGCAGCGTGCAGCGTGCAGCGTGCAGCGTGCAGCGTGCATCCATCGAGTTATGGATGCACTTGGGAGGTTTGCTCAGCACTCAAAGAAGCTAGAGTCGCACGAGGCTATCGCCTCGTGCGACTCTTACGCTTCTTTTGTGTCAAAAAAAGTAAAAAAAATCAAAGGGAAACGACCAAGCGCAACTTCTTGACCGGATATTAGGTCATGGCCAGGAAAAAAAAATTAATTTATTGACTGTTGACAGATTTTCAGATCTGATGTTTCGTACAAGGGTTTACAACAAAAGGATCCTTTGTGAGACTTTTGTACAAGCTCATTCTAGCTCATTCTCATAGCTCTCAACCAAATCTGGGGCTCGCAATTTAAGTCTGAACGTCTCGCGCTCGCACTCAAAACCCTTTGAAGTCGTTGTAAGTTGCGATCGCAAGTTACGCCATCGCGAGTTAGTAACTTGCGAAGAGGAAATCAGTGTGTCCCTTATGGGCCACCGNTGTTTAAAACAAGATGTCCTGAATTTAACACAAAATAACTCATATAATCAAGTATGAGGGCAGTTAACTTAATATTCTTTTACATTTACGATGGAGAATTACAGAATAGTATTTATTCTATTATTTTCGTCGAATTTTAAGTCAACTCAATATTCTTTTGCATTTACTACGGTGATTACAGAATAGTATATATTCTGTTCTTTTCATCGAGTTTTAAGTCCAGCAAATGCAAAGTGGTTACATAGGTTTGCTCGATTTTTGACACCTAAATACTTTCCATATGAAGTATAATGGTTTGTCTCATGTTCTTGAGGCAACGACCATATTTCATATAGAACGTGTTTTCACCATGAAACCGTTTTTACGATAATGTCCTCAATACTTTTCAAGATGCCTTGCATTCGACTTTCTACAAACACTAAGCAAAATGGCTGTAAGAATTCAAAATTCACACTTCCTTGCGTGTTCTTGGTAGAAGTTTAGGGAAAAAATGGGGAGCATCAGCAATCACAACCGCCAAGCAAAAACTTACGCTAAGGACGATACATTTACCTTTTTGCATGCAAGCGAGCAACATTTCAAACATAAATGAACTCTTGTTGAAAGTTACCTCGTTGAACAAGCCCCCATTTGTGGAAATAACATAAACAGAAGGACAAAGGAGCCAAAAAAATCAATGAAATGGATGGGAATGGACGTAAAAACCACTCCGAAAACAAAGAAACCCACGACTGAAGTGAGACTAGAGAAGAAGTCAGTGCCTTTGTGGTAAACACTAAGCCTGCAATAGAACCACAATATGTACTTCTGTTCGCTTCTCTTTCTATATCTCTACCTATGCACGAGGTTGAATCTTGATTTTTCTAGCTCGTTCAACTTGCTCGTGCACGTTGATTATCATGTTCTAAGCATGTCTTCTAATGCTGCATGAAACGAAAACACTGCAAACAAAATGGCGCATTGCAACGACGCATCATGGTTCTTTAGACAAAAAACACTGGTGTCAGCTATCATGCGAAATCGACAAATGAGGTCTAGATGGGTTTACACAAGGAGTGATCTGTTTTATCGCGCTATTTTTCTTCTATTCCTTTCAATAAATAAGACTTTGCCAGAATTGGGAACACGAAAACTTGGGAATAATAGGCCTTGCGTACAATGGAGTCACCTTCAAGTAAATGTCAAGACACCCTTGCTCTATATCTCGTTACATCTAATTGCCACAAGCTTCTATTAACAGATTTTTGGAAAATATGATGAATGCAAGGCCACTTATTTCATTTTTGTGAAACACACCATTGTCTCTTGTATCATCCCTCGTTCTCAAAGACTGCAGACAGTCTGGACATTGATGGACCTTTATTCAATCTGTTATTTATCCGCGAATTTTATGTACTTCTAACTAGTTTAAGCTAAGTAACACTCTGATATGAAACTGCTACTGATCCTGGCCAAAACAAAACAGTTTCGATAAACCGATATTGGGATTTAACTTGTCGTTATTTACGAAGCTCTCATTTTTGGGGAAAGCATATATACAGAAAGACCAAGGAGTTAAAAACCAATGAAATGGATCTGAATCGCTATCAAAACCACGCTCTCTTTTGTGATTCCTTGTTCTCAAAGATTGCAGATAATGTGGACCTCGATGGCCTTTTATTGAGTCTGTAGTTTATCTGACAATTTCATGCACATATATGACTAGTTCAGGCTTTATAATTAGTTCAAGCTAAGTTACGTTCTAGTACTGAAATTTAACTGCTGGTGATGCTCACAACAACAACAGAACTATCATGCGAAATCGGCGGATGAGATGGATTTAAAAAAGAGTCGTCCTTTTAATCAACCTTTTTTCATTGTATTCCTTTCGATGAATCAACTAAACTTTGGCGTAATGTTAGGAACACAGAGATTTGGGAATCAACTG